GTTTATTTAAAATCAAACAAAACACCCGAACCCCCCTAAAAACTATTTTTTTACGCAAATCCACGTTTATTTTTTAAATGAGCCGTTGCGACTTCCGATTTCGATAGAGTGGGTCACATATACACATTCTCCTGGCGAAACCTCAAATCATGTTCGTAATATCTATCAAACTATAGATCCTACACATCCACTGGACGTAGATTCTAAAAGTACAATATACACTTCTCGCTAGAAATCTAATCGAAAAGCATTTTAATGGCCAAACTATTCTACAATTTAGGATTTTCCAGAGAGGGTTATTTGTGAATAAACGACACTCCGGAGCGTTTGCAATTGCCGCAAATTGTTGTTTCTTACACGACCACTAGAGGTGCTAAACTTTAAAACGTGACTATAGGTCTTAATAAGCTGCTGAACAATCGACCTATTTGGTCGTTTTCTGGAGGAGGACAGGCTGGAAGTTTTGTGAAGGTGATCATTGTTGATGTATGTGTGCAGACAGACAGTGGATCGAGGCAGTTCCGTTAATAAAACAGTTTTTTCTTCGCACAGGTAGAGATGATTCCTCTTTATAATATTTTATTATAGTTTTGTAATAAGGTCTACTTCTATAAGTTGTGTGCCTGTGTTTATCAGGATGCATCAATTTGACTTTGTATTTTTTTCTGAGTGTGATTTCAGAAGAGGTGATCTTTAAGTCGACTGGGAGAAAAAAGAATCTGCATTTATTGAAAAAGAAAAAAGCCATTTGCGTAATGGGAAACAGAACCTAGACGAGTCACTGCATGCCCGGATCATTTCCTTCCATGTAATGTCACAGCTCGCATTCATGGACTTTTTTGTGCTGCGCCATTAGTTTCTCATTAGTTTTGTGATATGCAGATTCCTACATGTTGGCATCCCAAACAACAGATGGCATTTAAAAGAAAGCTACGGTCGACAGTACACTCCATATCAATTTCGAAATAGTGATGAATCAAACACACCTCCTCCCTTAAGCTTTATGAAACTATTTCACGCTCCACACAACATTCCTCACCAGGAACTGAAACGCCTTCAGCAAAAGAGAGTAGACTCTCGTATATCTGCAAACTGTTTAGGGGGTTGAGTCCTGATTCACAGCAGAAAGTGTCAGTGTTCATTACAGTTTTTCAGAGTTTTTTATGGCTACTTTTTGGCAAACAACGTACATATAAAGTGTATTTTCCCCCACAACAAAGGGAAGACTAAGAATAGAGATTTATTTTTCCACGGTGCCCGTAATGAAAAGGAATCGCAGATTGAGGCCGGGGTTTATATATGAACCATTAAGCTGCATCCTTCACACATCATCCTGTTTGAAGGATGATCCAGCACGAGTGTGGAACACGAGAAAGAAATGAAAGAAATTGAGGCAAACAATGTACCGTTGCATCAAAGAAATTGAGTTCAATAGGAAGCTGAATATTTCAATCAGAGACGGAGGGAATCAGGCAAAACATTGGGACATTATCAAACGTCCAATAATCACATTTGAGATGGTAATCCGACAAAGGAAATGCTTGTCTTTCATTTTTATGGACATAATCTGACATCTTGTCACGGCATATAATCCTTTTTTTTGTCAGTTGGTTTAAAACTCTAAATCCCTGCATGTGTTTTTGTGGATATGCACCTAAACTTTGTTTTTTATATCAAATCATAAGATTACAGGATTTCCAGATTAATATTTTACCAAGGTAGATAAGTCAGTCTTTACATTGTTTTGAGTCTTCCAGCAAAGCTACAGCTGACACCAATGCCCATGTCAATGGGGGATAAACATCTTCGAGGGCTTGTGTTTTTGCTACAGTATAAAAAATATAACTGACTTGCATTGGGCTAATGGTTCCCTTTTAGTACTGAATTTCAAGGCTTCTCTGGGTTGTCTGGCTGCTGAGAAATCAAAGCAGCATCGTTCACAGAAATTCTGCGTTCTTTGGGGGGGCGTTTTATTCCTTTATTTACATTTGAGCCAAGTTCAAAATGAATGAAGGAGAACCATTTGCGCCGCAGCACCATAGCATCCTTCTGAGCTTTCTTATTAAATGTTAAGCTATTTCTTAGGAAAACCTCAACTGAAAAAAACCTTGTCCGCTTTGTAAGGCATATTTTTGTGGATAAATAATTTAAATGAACAAGGGCGCTTCAGACCACTCACCCCAAAACATCTAAATGATGTTGTGTGCACTGGAAGTGTTTCATTTCAATAAACAAGAGTGCAGTGTTTGCTTTGTATTAAAAGTCAAATTGATGTGTCTGGGTTTTGGGAATTAATTTGCTTTGAGGGGTGAAACAGTTTTCAATTAGTTTAAATAACATGTGGCCCTTAAAATCATGTTGCCAGATTGATGGTGGGGATTAGTGGGTGGGTGGTTGACATGTTACATTACATTACATTACATTGCATTTAGCTGACGCTTTTATCCAAAGCGACTTACAATAAGTGCATTCGACCAGGAAGATACAACCTTGAAGAAAACAGAATCATATAAGTACATCAGGTTTCATAGAGCCAAACATTTCAAGTGCTACTCAACTGGCTTTAGATAAGCCAGCCCTTTATTAGTATATAAGTGCTTTGTTAGTAATTCAATCGCTCAAAGTGGAGTCTAAAGAGATGAGTTTTCAGTTCGCGCCGGAAGATGTGTAAGCTTTCTGCTGTCCTGATTTCAATGGGGAGCTCATTCCACCATTTTGGAGCCAGGATAGCAAACCCACGTGTTTTTGCTGACGGGAACTTGGGTCCCCCTCGCAGTGCGGGTGCAGCGAGCTGTTTGGCCGATGCAGAGCGTGAGGGCCCTGCCCACTAATGGAAGAGAAAACACACACACACACACACTCAAAATTAAATCCAAAAATAGAACAATCCTAAAGGACAAATTGAGTATATTAATCTCCAAAAGTGAACGAGCAAGCAGAATCTTTCTGATCTGTCTCTGCAGCCTCTATGCACTGTCAAGCTGAGAAGTTTATGAATATGGTGGATGCTGTGAACATAGACCCCTGCAGAGATGATCGATATATTTTCATTCTCTTCAAAAAGCAATGCGAAGCCAAAATAATTGAATAACCCATGAGAATGAAACAGCCTACATTCTGCATAATGTCAGGCTGCCTGTGTGGCCTTCAGCTAATTCTAGATTGCAATCTCAGCTCTGCGCCTCAGAGCTTACTGACAATATCTGCACAGCCTTGTGGCTGTTTGGAGAATGAAAACATACATCATCCAGAAATGCTGGCTGTTTGGTTGCTGCGGCTATACCACGGAGAAGGGAGAGAAAAGTGAAAGAAGCAGAGGAAGTCAGTCAGGCGAGCGAACAATGAGGTCAGCTGTATTCGGTGCCGAGCTGCGGACAGGCCTGCATGTTCTGTACAGGAAGCTACATGCAGAGCTGTCTGGATGTGCAGGAAGGTGATTTATCATAAAACTTTCAAGGAGATTCGAAGTAAATTAAAACCGGCCCCCAATCCTACTGGGAAGCCATTTCATGGAGCAATTATGTTCAATTCAATTCAATTGAAAACCTTTATTTATCCAGGTGAAATCCCATTGAGATCAATGATCTCTTTTTCAAAGGAGACCTGCATGTGAGTTTGATCTCACAATAGAGTGGTGAAAGGATGATGTATTTCTGTAGGGGTTA